TGTATGTACCATATTTTCTTTACCCATCCACTGATGGACATATAGGTTGTTTCTGAGCTTGGCTATCATGAATAGTGCTACTATGTATATGCAAGGTCCCGAGTTCAATCCCCAGTACCAAAAATAAGTAAGTAAGTAAATAAATAAATAAATAAATAAAAGGCTGACTGGAATTTCACCATCTGTATGTACCATATTTTCTTTACCCATCCACTGATGGACATATAGGTTGTTTCTGAGCTTGGCTATCATGAATAGTGCTACTATGTATATGCAAGTGCAGGTATGTCTTCCAGATATTTTGGATATACACCCAGGCTCATATGGTAGTTCCATTTTTATTTTTTCTAAGACTCTCCATATTGTTTTCCATAATGACTCTACTAATTTACATTCTCATCAACAATGTACAAGGATTTCTCATTTCTCCACACCTTTGCCAACACCTTTTATTTCGCATCTTTTTGCTAAGTCATCCTCATAGGTAAGGTGTTACATTGTGGTTTTGATTTGCATTTCCCTGATGGTGAGTGGTGTTGAGTTTCTTTCAATACACCTGAGGGTTGTTTGTATGTTTTCTTTGGGAAAATGTCTACTAAGGTCCTTTGCTCATTTTTAAATTGGGTTATCTGATGTGTTCTTTGGCTGTAGAGTTGTAGAAGTTTCTTAGCTTGATATTGACCTTTGATGATATGTACTTTACAAATATTTTATTCTGTTCTGTATGCTGCCTTTTCATTCTGTGCACTTCTTCCCTCACTGTGCAGAACTGTTAGTCTGCAGCAGCCCCCTTGGCTGGTTTTGCTTTTGTGGCCTGTGCTTTTAGTGTCACAGCCAAAAACTCATTGTCATGGCCAATGTCAAGGGGATTTCTCCCTGGGTTTTTTTCTAGGAGTCTTACAATTTCAAGTCTTGCACTGGAGTCTTTAATTCATTTCCAGTTAATTTCTGTTCATGGTATAAGGGTCAGCTGCACACTTCTGCATGTGGGTATCTGAGTTTGCCAGCACTGTTTATTAGATAGATTTTCCTCCTGTGTGTTCTTGGCACCTTTATAAAGCTATGAGCTTTATAAATACTCTCTACTCCAT